CCTCCTCCTCGTTCTCTTTTTCCTCCTGTTCCATCTCCTCCACCTTGGTTATTATTTTCTTATTTACAGTAAAGAAATGTCTGCTGTAAGTAAGCAAATTAAATAGAATAGATCAAGAATCGTTAAACTGAAAGGTGTTAGGAAAGATTAGTGCCGGTTTAATCTTGTAGCTGTGGTTCTGGTCAGTGCTTTAATCTTTAGTTCCAAACATAAAAGTTGAAAACAAACTCAGAGGAGATCAGGAGAGGTGGTAATTTCTTAAGGAAACCATAGATCCAAGTTAGCCTATGGATCAGCTGGTGTATTTTCTGTGGCCTGTTCAGCCCTTGGCCTCTGTGTTGAGGCCCTGTGCCAACACCAGATAATGCCTGGTCACCTCTTTAAGAGTTATTTGGATATTGGTATCTGTCCACTGGGAACTAGATTGGAACCACCCTGCACACATTACTAAGGGTGGCTAATACCCATCCCCTGTGCCATCCATTCCTCAAAAGTGACTTGTCTTTACATGCAGAAACTCAAATCATCATGAAGTCTTAAGTGTCCTGCCTTCCTCTGCCACATTTTTAACTGGATAGCCAATACCTTTTTGTGATGTATTCCTGTTTTTAATGTCCCAGAGCAGTGCAGGAGGAGCACACTGTTTCCCAGGCCTTCGAGTAGATGTGTTTGAAGAAATTGTACCCATGGGCATTGATCCAAACAAAGTCTCCTACAAAGAAACTGGTATGTCAGATTTATGGAAACTTATCTTCAGCAGACATGAGAACAGAACTGCGAGGCAAATGAGATGAAAGCACTTGCCCAGACACTCCCTTCTGCCTAGCAAGCAGATCAAAACTACAGTAGTAATTACATTGTTAGAAATGTCCCAGACTGCTCCAGGTCAACAGTGGGAATAATTCTCTACATGGGATCTTTTTGGATCTGATTTGCACAGGATTTTATTGCTTTGGCAATTTGAAATGGAGCTGTACATTTCTTTCATCCCAGTCAATAATAATTTAAGCAGCATCTTAAGGTAACAGCCTTGCTGGTTCTCAAAAGCAAGTGCACCTTAATACTGGTGCCAGTTAAGAGAGGCTGTAGGAGAAAGTATAGGGTTCAGTTTTTAGGCGTGCCTAATATGACCTTGTGCAACCTCTGTTACTTGTAAAACAGGCTTGACTAAATGTGCAAGTTTTGAGAAGCAAAAAACATAAGGAGCAGTCAGCATGGAAGAGGAGGATTGGCTGCCTGGTCTCCCACCTTACATAGTAGGGGGAGTACTTTTCCCTAGTATGTTTCATTGGGTAAGGTTTCCCAGCTGCAGCCAGGAGCCCATGTGAAGTGCTAGAGGTCCACATGCACATTGCAACAGTCTGGTTCTTTGCTCTGTACAGCCAAAAAGAAAGGTGAGTTTTGCAGCTTATTCTTAGTACTTACCAGACACTAGGACCCAGGTTGTTAAAGGTACTTAATTTGAGTTGTTTTTTGGAATCTTTCAGGTTCTGTAGGGGAAACATTGGCTGAGATACCTGTGAGCTATCTTTGTTGTAAACGGAGGCTTATTCAAAGTGTTCCTTTTTATGCAGATAATGCAGCCAAAGCGACTGACTCTCTAGCTCAGAGATCAGGGCACTTGTCAAGGATGTGGGAGACCCAGGATTCAAGTTCTTGTGCCAGTGACTATTTAAATATGTGTACTAAGTAGAACAGTTTCCATGAGAGAAGTTGAGGGCATCTGCTTCAGAGAATAACCAATCATCTGGTACTTGTCTCAGAGATGGGAACTCAGATTCAAGTCCATACTTTGAATGAGAGCAGAGATTCACATCTTGTTCCCCTGTGTTCAAGGCTCACTTCCTAGCCACCAAGTATGGATAGGTCAGACCCTCCTTCCTGTCCC